CAGCTGGAGCTCGGCGCTGATCCTGGTGCTTCTGCTGAGCCCAGAAGAAGCGCCGATCAGCTGGAATGTTGCAGCATCTCCAGGGTCTTGTGATTTACATTCAGATGCTTGGCAACTGATTCATATTTATGACGGTCACAGTGTCCCAGGGTCATGTGAAGTGACCAAAACCTGCTGCAACCACCCAGCAGACGGGGGGGAATAAAAACCAAACACCCCCCCACCCCCACTGCCAATCCTCAACAGAAATGCTCACAACAATGAAAACCTCGAACAGGAGGAAGAGCGCCGCCAGGCGGGCAGGCAGGTGTCTTGCTTGACTGTGGCTTGGGGGGAACTTTTTTCAGGGCCATTGTAACTTCGAACAGTCACTAAGCGAACTGTTGTACGTTGAGGACTACCTGTACTTCATCACTTTTTCCCTTTTTTTGGTCATCAAGTTTTTGACACCTTGCTAGGCGACTGGTGGTACTCGGATGTTGCCATATCCTAAAAGTGGTACAATGGGTGAAAAGGTTGAAAAGCCCTGCCTTAGATTTTGAAGCCACGATGTTCTTCTGCCTGGACCTCGTTTGCCTTCAATCTTTCCCTGGAGGATTAAATGGAGTATGCTGTATTTTTCTGGGTGTCGCATCACATGTACCAAATATTCTAATTTTTGTTTTTTAATTGTTTTTTAATTACCAGAGTTACCAGGGATGGGGAACTATGGCCCTTTTATGTCTTGTGGACTTCAACGCCAAGAATTACTGAGCCAGCCATGCTGGCCCAGGAGTTCTGGGAGTTGAAGTCCACAAGTCATAAAGGGGCCATAGTTCCCCACCTCTGGGTTATACTATTGGTGTCTTTCACATAGCTTAGTCCAAGCCCTGTTTGTGTGATGCACTGAACAAGTAATCTCTGCTAGTGAGGGAGCATGTATACCAGTTTGAAAGCTCACTATGTTCTTCCCCCACAATAAGGTTGCCATCTAGGATTCTTTTCACCTGGTGCTGTATCTGATAGGTGGCAACCCTCAAGTAGAAGTCAAGGAATTCTTTCAGATCATTCTTCGTTGCAAAGAAATGGTTATGGCCAAGCCAATGGCAGAAGATTTTTAAGGGTACGATTGTCCAGTTCTAGAAACCTGCTCTTTCTCCATCCTCTTGCTAATTCTAAGTGAGGTATCCCTGTCAGACTTCCTGATACAGTTGTACATTCTTCCATCTGTTGTGCTCAGTTTATATTTTGGTAGTGCATCAAGCTAGGCTAACATCTGGGATCTCTTTAGTCATCCTTTGTAGATTTAGCCAGCTAATGACCCTTCTACTCATCCAAGCACATTGGTTCAGCCGGATGTTACAAGTTGCGGCTGGAGAAATGAAACGAGACATAAGGTTTGGGGGCAGTGAATGCAATGGAGGCAGGATTGGGTCAATATGAATTAATTGTACTTGAATAATTATATTGGGGAGGGATTTTGTTACCTCAGGGGGTTGGGTTAGGGAGGGCATGAATTGCCATTAAGGGTTGGGCTTAGATAGATTGGGCAAATTCCATTTTTTTCAGAAGGGCCAGAAGCAGAACAATACATAATAACATGGGTTTGTGAACGCTGAGGCTTCTGTTGCAATTCTTTAAAGTATTTTGGGGTGCTGTGAATTTTCATAATATAATAATTTTGGAAGAGTCCAGGAGTGTGAATTTACTGGACCTGGGGGTGGGTTGGATTGGGTTTATCTAGATCTTTGGATTATTTTTTGTAGTGCTTTGATATTTCAAGCTGTGAGGGTTTGTTTGTTTGTTTTTCTTTCAAGGTCTCTGGCTCTTTGAGGAAGTGTGGCTTATAGAGTTAAGATAGCATGGCTGTGTTTTATGGCATTAGTTTGGGATTAGCAGGCAATGATGCTGTGGAGGTTGTTGTTGTTTTTTGCCAGTTGGCTATTGTCAGTTGAGATTCAGTTATGCCTAAATCTGTGCGTGTGGCACCCTGGATTTGTACCTTCACATGGATGGTGCTTTGTTTTTCTTCAGATGCTTGTTTTGCATCAGGCTTCCCTTCCCCAAATGTATGGGGGACCCTTCTTGTTGCACCAGCACATTCAACTATTCTTTCGCCACCCAGTGGTAAAAGTACACGCACCTTGCACATTGGCAAGTAGCCAGTATGAAGCAAGTAGCTGTAACAAATAACGCTGGGTGGATTGCCTCTGGACGTCCACCTTTCTTAGCCAATAGTCTTCATGGATGGGCAAGCTCCAGAGGAACTGTTCACAGGATGCCCTCCTGCTCCATATCCCCTCACCTCAGCACAGGACCCCTGCGCTACATCAGTAGACTGCTGAGATGAAGAGTAGGTCTTGCCCAAAAGTTCCTGTTCCAGGGCTCCAAGATTAGCCAAAC